TTGTTGTTTATTTATAATTTAGTAGGTTGCCTCGCCAACCCGACCTCTTATAAGTTGGTCTACACCACGGCTCGACCAACTTGAGTCTAAGATTACCACACAAACTTGGAAAGTTGCGGTTGGCTGACTTGGTAAATCAGGAAACTACTTGAAATTTAGGTGCTTCCAAGTATTTTTGAGGTTGAGAAGTTTCAGATCGCGAAATGAATATTTTTATATTTACGTTATTGGAAACTTTTAACGGTCTAACCACTCTAGGTTAAAGTTGCGATCACCGTAAACTAATCTTTTATCAACTATTATTTCTCCACCATTTGAACATTTTATTTTTTGCTAAGAGTGTTCCAAACACGGGGTTTTTTCACACTCTTACGTTGATCTTAGGTCACACAGCGTCGTTGATTGAACACATTCACTTAAATTTTCAGTTTAAACGGGAAATGATTCTCACAAAATATCATAATTTGCGAGTTGGGAGAGTCTTTCAAAGAATGAACTATAGAACCCCATTGTGTTTGAATAAAAAGTATATCATGACTTGAACATATATTCATGCAACGATAGATCAATAGAAAACAACGAATCCGTGAAGATAAATAGACCAATAATAAGAATACAAATAAAAAAATGCATTTTAGTATTAATACTTTTACGAAATCTAAGAATAAACTAAGAGATAGAACGGAGGGTGCAAAACCATTTATAATCTATTTCCGTCCCAATTCTCCAGTAATGCATTTACCGTCACAGTGGACCTGAGGGAAATGCTCCCTCCCAACACGCCACATTTCCCTGTACCGAGACTATTATATGACAGGACGTTAAACCATTTATCCTTCATTATCGTTAAAATGTCCTGCAATTAAATTATAAATACGCTTGGGATTTTGTGTAAATGATTTGAATGTTAATTTTGCTAAATGACAATTAAAGAACGTAAAATATATTGAAAGTCTTTATTTGAAGCAGTTATTGAATTTTCTTGACTAATGAATTTCTCTCTCAATAACCACCCATGTTGCCTCTTAGAGTATTTCTGTATTGTTGTAAATGATACATATTAAAGTATTTTTATACAAAGTCGTATGATTCGATTATCTTTATTTTGACGCATAGATTATATTGAGACAAAGGGACATGCTGCTTACTAAATATAAGTAAAGAATGAGTAGAATCTTTGACTATTGATACAACAGTTGTTGCCAGTTTTATCAAAATGAACGTAGTTGTTGTGGGCCACCAACAGATTGTGCTGATACAAATTACTGATTTCTCTCGAATACACAAACATTTTTACCAATTCAAACTGATGGAACGACGTAATGATAAATATAGCAATTTTTATGGCCCATCAACCATGTCAGCAACATAAGGGTAGAAAATGGAATTTTAGACACTAGCGCATTCTGTGACAGGCTCACACAACTATAATCTTTTTTTATAAAAAAATAGCGACAGCTGGTCCATATAGATGGGAACTCTACTTCAGTATGCAATAGTTAATTATAGAAGTAAAGTATGGATAGAATGTATTAGAGTGTCGACTAGAGTCTTGATGCTTTGATGCTTGAGCTTTGTCAAATAAAATCAGCTGTTTCATCAGCCATGTCAATTTTTAAGAATATCAATAATTATAAACAGCTGGGTCTAGATTCAAAACATTTCAAAACGTAGACATTTTAACAGGAACCAACCTTAACATTTTGTTTGAACTTAAATGTCAATTGTATAAAATATCCTGGTACAGGAAACAAGTTTTATTTCAAACATTGCCAAATTTAAGAAAGTCTACTATAAATGCAAATACCCCAAAAAAATTCATCGAGAGAGATGTTTTACTAGGTGTAACTATTGAAGCTTTATCCTTTAAAGTCAACAAGATTCTTGTACAATTTCTTTGAAAAAACAAATGGCAAATAAAAGAATGATTTATTAGATAAACTTTAATATTTCCATCTCAACCTTTTTTAACGAGACACGATCACAGCACCATGGTAGAGTTGTGTTGTGTCGTGGCCTCCGACTTTATCATCAGTTCGAGATATTTGGATTTTGTACTATGAAGTCTTGTCAGGAATATTGGATTTCACTTTTGAACACAATGCATTCTTCAAAAATCGCTCAATGAAATATCACACACGTCAGGTATTTTCTCCTTAAACCATACAAAATGAGAATCGTTTTTTTTTTCAATAGTCATGAATGAAAAAATGCATTTTATAACCTTAAAAAATAATAGTAAACCTCTTATTTACTCATCGTTTCAATTAAGTTGATCTAACCGTGAAAATAGTTGATTAAAAAAAATCTACAATGCACACAATACTGACGTTTTTACAATGAATGTGTTTTTAATTTAATTTAATATTTAAAACTGGATTTGCAAAACTCTTTGCGATTATACCGTTGAAGGAGGATTTTAAAAATATGTCTTAAAATCTCCATAAAATTAGTTTGAAAACAAATACTATCGTCAGAAACTTATAACTAAGAGAAAAGATTACTTAGGAAAACTCAGACTTTTAAATGTAATACGTAAACAAGAAATGCCTCTAAATCGTCAATCGCTTTGAAGGCAATCAAACTTATTTAAGTTCTGTTTGAGCCATCCTCCCGTTAAATAAACAACTCCCCGTTTCAGTAAGATGAATTTGGTAATTTAATTATTGGTACTTTGGACTTGGGACTTTGCAATATTTAAATTATCAAACTGAAACAAAATATGTTGTCAAAAATATAAGTAATGTAGTTTTGAAAAGGAGAAATATTTTAATTAGTACCCCAACATTAATTAATACATAAAACAAAGTATCCCTTTCATGTTATGAGCTTCACTTGACATAATTACATTCTGTGACATCACTTGACTTTATATCATAGTTGTTATGTTTGTGTAACAGCTGAGTATGTCCTTTAGCCTCTCAACGATAATCAAGTCAACAAGGTACCTCTCTTTTGTTATGAATATCACTTGACATAATTATACTACACTCTGTGACATCACTCGACTTTATATCATAGTTGTTATGTTTGTGTAACAGCTGAGTATGTCCTCAACAATAATATTGCCACTCATAGGCTCTCTTCTTTTAAATAAGAACATTATTGTAGGTTATATTAATTCTATTTTCATCATCTTACTCCATTAGTGCATCGGTATTTGTAATATTTTTTCATAAAATTTATTAAATATATTTTATATATTTTCATGTATTTATTTTGAGTATTTTGATAAGTATATGAATCAAACTTACGGCAATACCATCGAACACGTCATTTCAGACATTTTACCGATTGATGGAATATCGAGAAAAATATTTTGATTTAACTATTTATCTTGAATTACTATACAAGACGACCTAAGGCAATATAAAATCCGTTGGTCTTAATCCATAAACTAAGTAATTTGGATTTTCACTTGCATATCTCAAACATTTAAATGTTTTTGCATAGATGTAGTAAGATTGATAAGCTAAATGGTTGTACGTTTTGTTACTCATGATAAAGAATTGCGGTGAACTGAATGGTGAACATTTCACCACATTATCTGTGCAAGTGCAAGATTGCGGTGGACAATATTTCCGCTTTGATGAACAATGTTTCCAGTTTCTGCTCAATGAGTGGCGTCAAGTCATGCGAAGCGTTTGTCTGATAACACTGGCGAAGAGTGACAAATTGACGTAGATGTAATAGCTTAGTAGACAAGTAGTTGGACACACCTCAATAAATATTTTGCTTGAAATTGGTTTTCTAAGTGTATTGGAGAACTTAATTTAGATTTAGATTTTTTGGTAATGAGGGAGGTCCTAAATTGCACTTTTAACCCTTACTGTCCACACAATAGTAAGCCTTAGGCATATGTATTTTAAGTATAGATAGTATCAGCAATTTGACACATACTTTGTCCCATAAACTTGTAAAAACGCTAAATAATCAGTGGGGTAAGCAGTGGGAGTATCTGGGAATTTCTTTGGGAAAATCACAAAAGTTGCTATAACTTTTCTACTGTTATGTTTACAGCATTGAGAGTTGTACCATTTTGTTTAAAGTAGGAGTATTAAATACTAAATTTTAATTAACATCGTTTTTGTAGTTTTTTTGGAAATCATATGAAAAGTGTATGGGTTTTATGTGAAAAAAAATCTAACCACATTTTGGATTTAGGGGGGTTCAACTTGAAAATTGTGTCAAAAACAACACTTTATTTGTATACTATGTTTAGGGGTAGGTTTAAAATAATAAATTGATATTTTTATGAATAAGGTGAATATCAAAGAAAAACAATTACTTCAATTTGTTGGTTCAATTTGGTTTATAATATGTATGACACACACACACACACACACACACACACACTTATATTGAAGGCGATTGTAATAGTGAGTAGAGGTATAAAAATTCCTTACATAGTTTTAGTAGAATTGTCTCTATAATTTTCTCTGTATACATTATGTATTTCTTATGTTATGAATCTCTTTATGTATGATTATTACTTATTTAGAGCCGCATTTTTCAAACATTATTTACAATGCAAATATAAATCCAATCAGGGATTTTTCAACCTCAGCACGTTAATCTAAAAGTAATTTACAAACGTGTGCTCGACATCTCGAAACCTATTTGTATGCATTATTCCACATTCATTTTGAAACCAAATTAAACTTTCATGTTCCATACACAAGTATAAATTATAAAAATGTGAGTTGACCATCAACGTTTTCATTACCAGTGGCTGGGCGGGCGTTTGAATAATGACTTAATTTGCAAACACAAAAACGCAAAATTAGAACCTCTCTAGTCTTTCAAATTAACAAACCTCATGTTTGTAGAGATTACAAAAATGTGGAAAAAGAGAATGAATAGAAACAACGGCTTATTGTCAATCTTTATTTAACATGACTGCAAAAATACAAGTACAAAATGGTTATTTTGGAAGCTATTTCAAAAGCTATACAATTATGTAATAATGCCTAAATATTTACAAACTTCACTTATAAATATTATTGTATACATTATGATGGGAGTTATAAAATATTTATAAATAAATAGTACATAAACCTGTACAATTTCAAGTTAGAATTTAAAATAAAATTCAAAACCAAACCGTAATTTAAATGCTGTGGATGCGATACATGTATTGATAATTAGGTCAACATAGTCCTTCGCTACAAAGATAATACAGCTAAATTTACAATTTAAATTTGAATTACATATTTTATTAATTAAATGTTAAAAATGTTCAATTATACATACAAAATCATATCATGTAAATAAAAACAGTACATTCTTAACTGACCGATTCTAGTTTCCAATAATTAAATTTGCGAATACTATAGTAAAATACATTATACTCTTAGAAATTTACAAAGCTAAATTGGTACCATAGTTATTTTACTTTATTGTTTCATCAGAATTGCTTGAATTTATGTACCCTGTAACTTTTATTTTGTTTTTTCTATTTTAAAGTTGTTTTACAAACTACCTATCTGGTTCGGCTTTATCCACGCAAAGTCTAGCGGCTGCTGGGTCCAATGGAGAACTCTCCTGGAAAAAGAAAAATATAAATTTCACATATCAATCTGCAATAAAAAAATTTAATATTTAAAACCAATAAATGAACTTAACCTAAAGGTACTAAAGGCTCTACGATTGATACGGGTTTCACTTTGATGGCTAAGGCGAGGCAAAAGGAACGAGTGAGAGTCAAAAAGATATTTTGGTCTGTGAAATAAACTAAATCTTTCGTCGTACTTGCACATTCTTTAGTTAAATAAGTTCACGACGTTAAAACTACATGTGAAAAATTGCATACCAAACTATTCCATCTAGTTTTGTTGTTGAATACCGGTACAAACATGTTTTAGCGTTATTTCGGTGGATTTGGTCGAATTCGATATCAAATAGTTTATAATTTTTACATTTCGCTTCATCTAAATGTATGCAAAAGAATATTTAATTAGGTAAAATAAACAATATGACATGATGATCAATATAACCATACACAAAACTAATTAAATATAGACTGTCAGCCGTGCTGCAGTTACCATGGTTACCAAAGGTTCTGGCGCACACCACTGGGAGCGCCGTGTAGTTGCGTTGCCCGTATGCCGTAACTATATGGCACTCCCATCGGTTTGCGGCAGAACCTATGGTAACTGCAGCAGCACAGCTGACGGTCTATATTTAATTCTTTTTGTCTATGATATAACTAAATGTATCTACGAAGATTTAACGTTTTCCTTATTGGTACTATTTTATTCAGCAAAATGAGCGAGGGTAGTTAAGAAAAAACGTCAAGCCAACGTTATTAAATCCGTCTGATTAACCTTTGCTGGAGATTAAAAAACTAGTTACTTTAGCCTTGCAAAGAAAGTTGATATGGAATATTTTTATCTGTAGTGCCTGTGATTCTACGACATTTTATAACTGGTAATTGAATAGAGTAAATGTATACATTTTATCGATAAATTTGATGTAAAATGTATTACCTTGTCCATTGGGGATGTGAGAGCTTTACTGCATACTGAAGGTGTGTGGTTCAAAGTGCCTTGGCCTCTCCACCATCTCTGCTTTGTCCTCTTGCTTTCCACGCACTCCTGACAAACAAATCGATTCATTCTAGAATTTCATTGATTTATTAGACTAATCCAACTAGAATAATATTATAAGTGTATGTGTGTGTGTGTGTGTGTGTGTGTGTGTGTATGGATGTTTGTGTGTAACTGTGAAGTTCCATCGCGTGGAAACTACTGGACCGATTAAGCTGACATTTTGCAGAGAGGTACTTGATAGTCTTGAGAAACACATAGGCATATTAAAGTTGTGAAAATACTATAGGGCTATGCACCACGGTGGTTCAAAGTTTCCAAGTTATTCTTATGACTATTCATATTTATAAGTTGTATTCATATTTATGGTAGATGTGTTATACTATAGCATACCGTGATTAAAATAACCAAATTTTCTTAAACCGTATCCTCTCCCATTGCAAACGCAAAGCCAAGTATAACTGCAATAAGCATTTAGTACTTATACTCCAACCTCGTACGAAGAACAGGTACTCTGCTAGTCCTTGATACTTTGAGTATCGATATCATGAAGTGAATATTCAATTCCTGTATTGAAGCTGTATATAATTTTTAAGAAAGTTATATATAATTGATCTACAGAAAGAAAAACAATTTTTAGCAACTAACAAAATATTCTACTAAATAATATAGTTGAAGCTGTGCAATAACATCGACCTCAAAGAACTGCCAGATAACACAGTCTAGGTACAATAACATGGAGTAAACATTTTCTTTTATTTCCTGTGCTATATTTCACGTATTACTTTAAGAAAATGATCATACTCTTGCCACTATCCAACTTCAACCTTTGTTTTGCAACAAAACAAATCATGGCCCGATTACAAGTTTAATCTATGTCCAAAATTGATCCCACTTCAAATCAAACCATCCTACAGATTTGAATTCGTATATAATAACTTGACTACCAACATTAACCGCTTATTCAGTAGTTAAATACATTTTAAGAAGATAAACATTTAAAAAAAGTCAGCGAAGCATCAACTTTCATTTCACAAATATTGTGACACAGATTCAACAACGTAATCTAATTAATTCTACGAATCACAACTCATTCACTAAACATACAGTTCTCCCAGGGAATAAGTTTGTTATTTCAAACACAACCTGTAATAAGTAGCCAATGTAAATACTGGAGAACGGAAGAACGCAAACAATGTAATTTTGCCTTGTTCAATTAGTAAATTACCCGGGTTGGTTCGCTTCTATAAACATTACCCAAATTGGCGCGGACTCCTGCAGAGATCATCTCAGCCTCCGTATTTCATCTCCGTGTTTTCCCCTTTTTTGTACCAAATGAACATTTTAATGGATCTTCTCGTGTGTATTTTGTGATATTACAAACGCATGTTAAACACCTCTAAACGTTTTCTTCGCAAATTGAGTTTTGAATCGTATAGATAATTTATATGCTTTGCTACCTCCGGTTTATGTAGGGATCATTTGTTGACTATTTGTTTCTTGAAATTAAATTTGTTTAAAACTATATTGTCCTTTGTTCAACTGTACAGCGAACAATCTAAAAAAATCTAACAAAATATAAAAAATAGGGTCAGTAAACGTTACCAAAGTGAACCTCAAACAACTAGTGGTTTACGATTTTATAATGCAAGACTAATGCAGTTCGAAGTCAATGATAACGATGACTTTGAGGATTGTAAGGACTGGGACAGTGGCGTCGTCCTGTAATCCAGCTACTAGAAGGCAACGAATTGTGGATATTTATAGGCATGCACTGTGTATGCGATACTCCATGGTGTGGATTAACGTCCGCACTAGTGAGTACTACGACTATCCGCAGTACTATTCTGATAGTTAGACCAAATTGGAAAAACAAGGCAAAAAATGTGGTTCGGATTCCACAATAAACTGTAGGTCCCTTAGTTGCCATTAGCTGTATGTGCTATTAATTAACAGCTGTGTCTAAGGAATGTCGGCCTTAGCCACTAACAAGACTACAAGATCGCGCCACTCATCCTACACTCTTATTTGGGTTAAAATACGGACATAGTGGGGTCCCCATCTTAAATGGTTAATTGATTGAAGGTATTAAAATATCATATATTTTATTTTTGAATTTATTTCATTTACATTTGTGTATTACCTAAATTTTATACATTCAATACGGTGACACTTAAGCGCCTGTGAAGCTCAAAGTAAAGACAGGATGATTACAGAACCATTCATTTTGAATAGTTTAAATTGACTGAACATTTCAGGTAAACACCTAGTTCTATTGTGAAATCTATTGAAGTTTCAGTCACTAACTAGAGATCCAACATGAAACCTTAAGCCAGAATCCAAGAACTTAACCAGTGTCGAGTGTTGGACTCTGAATAACGTGATATGAATTGAGGATCAACTTATCAACCACTCCAAGAACGCATAACCCAGCCTTGGTGTTCGACTCAGATGGTATCGTGTTTCAAAAGAGACTATGAGATGCCAGGGAGGCTCTTAACAATGTATTGTCAATTGATAATCCTATATTGTGGCATCTAATTGTAAATACCGGATTGACTACGTATTTGCCGAGTAAAAATAGTTAAAACTATCGAGGACTTATGCATTCATCCTTCAACCTTAAAAATTCACGGTTACTGTAAATGGATTCGATTGTGGTTTGGAGTATTTGACGTTGAAATAAATTCGAGTTGAGGTTTCTACCGAATATTGGTTAAGAGACAGTTTCAAGTAAATCTATGATTCAGGTTGTATGCCTTTCCAAAAGATTAAAATTGAAATATTGTCATTTTGGAGGTTATTGGTGGAACTGTATACGGAAAACATTGTTTATGAATTAATACTGTTCAATGAAATGGCGACCATACATAGTAGGTATTTTAAGCCAAGTATGAATGGAGATGAGTGTAGGATGAGTGGTGCGATCTTGTAGTCTTGTTAGTGACTAAGGTCGACATTCCTTAGACGCAGCTGTTAATTAATATCCCATACAGCTAATGGCAACTAAGGGACCTACAGTTTATAGTGGAATCCGAACCACATTTTTCCTTGGTATATACGAATTGTCTAATTATATCAGGATAGTACTGCGGATAGTCGTAGTACTCACTCGTGCGGACGTTAATCCACACCAGGGAGTATCGCATCCACAGTGCATGCCTATAAATAGCCACAATTCGTTACCTCCTAGTAGCTGGATTACAGGACGACGCCACCCGTCCCAGTCAGGATTAGATACAGTTAGGAAAGCAAATAAATTTAGTATTCAAATTTAGCCGGAGAAAAAACACGTAGAAAGCATAGAGGTTATACTAGAGCATATTCAGTAGCAGGATAGGATTACAGTAACAAATCTGCCCGATTTCCAGCATCAAGGTTCACAATTTTCCTTTACTTCTTCTGTAAAACCAATCCTAAAGGGTGGAGTGTGTTTCTATTGGAAATTACTGACCTCATCCTTTCCTAATCTCTTAGAAAGTAACTATATTTAATTAATGTTTTTACCAGAAACCATAAATTTTGTTTACTACTCTAAATTTTAGATTATAAGGGTAAAACAGTAGTTCCTGAAACTAGACCGTATTTTACTGGACTAAAACATGTGAGCTAGTTTTGTATTGGGGATAGTAATATGTTTTAGATAACTATTTTTGGAAGAGGTAGGTTATATTATTACATTTTTTATACCAAAGGACGTCACATTACATCTGAAGCATGTTTAATGAAATCGTACATAGTTAAATAAGACTCCCATAGACAGTTACAAAATTTTATTATCTCTCTCATATTTCTTCAAGCTTTTCAACGAGTGAGTCTGAAGCTCAATTAAACTAGGCCTACAGTAATTTTATTCTAAACTGTTTACAACTTTAACGTAGGGATAGAATGTTAATCTACATCTACACAACATGGTTTTTACAAACCTGAGATGGTAGATGAGTTGCTGTGTTGGTAGATTGTCCTGGTCTGTACATGTCCCACCCTCTAACATACAACTCGGCTGCATAAACTAGACGTCCAAGGCCTCCCCGTCCTCTCTGCAGCAGGTACCATCTACGAGACAACAGGCCATATTGTAAAAGTTACTGGATAGGAAATATAGCAGCATATGTTTAGTTACGAAATGGATTGACATTTTAATTGGTAGGTTTTAATGTACGTACTTTCTTCTACACGCACACGGGCTCCATACAGTTCATAGAGTTTATGTTATAAACCTGGAATATTATTGACCTATAATTTTGTAACAAAGGTTATCAAAAACATTTGTAAGAGGTTCAGAGGCTAGAAAAATTGATTTGAATTGTTAAACAATTGAGACATACAATTGTGTAATAGAAGTTATAAAAAACATCAGTGACCTACTTTTGTGTAATAGAGGTTAACCTGAAACATTATCAACCTCTTCATTAAGTGAAAATGATAATTTATGGATAAAAACCACCTATATATTGTGTAATGGGTGTCATATTAAACATAAGTACTATGAAAAAATAAAATTCCTGTATATATTACTAGAGTTGTAGTTAAATTCAATTGCTTTACTAAAAAAACTATTTTTATCGGAACCAGAAATGTTTATGAATTATAAGAGATTTAAGTAAGAATTATAAGTAACATAATTCTATGGAGATATAATAAAGGCGGCATACCATAAGGGAAAGAAAAAAGTCTTGTACGTGTACATCAACTTGAAAAATTTGTTCATACAGATTTTATATTAAATATTTATGGTTAAACCGATTATAAATACAGTTCAGAAGAAATTAACTACTCCGATGTGTACAGGGTCCTTGTACGAGAACAATTGAAAACATTTCACCATCTATAATTATGCTCAGTATTAAGCACCAGGCAATCAAAATAAATACAAATTTTAATGTTTTACTCTGTATTTAACACTAGGCTTGCCTTATCAACAGCTGGTGAAGCCTGGCTATCTGTCCTCGAGCTCGAAGACACCTCGCGGTTCCCAAGAAGGAATCTAAGTGGTTGTGTTGTAATCTTAGAGCCTTCAGGTAGAACTGCTCAGCTTGAAGAATCATACCTGCAGAGCAAAATAGAAAACACTTGATCATCATGAATTGAGAAGAAGACACCACTGAGGTGCATAATAAAATCCAAATCTGAGTGAAGGATGAGTGTAAAATTCAGTGACATGATCTGAGTAGCTTTGTGACTCACTAAGATCAGCTGTTTCATTTGCCAGAAGCATTTATTTTAACCTCGACTATCAGGGAATAGTGGGTCAAGATTCGAACCATCAAAAAGCTCCTGACTTTTGTCAGGATCGATCTAGCAACCTTTTGATTGTCATGCTAGCCCCATAACCACTCATCTACCCAAGTTGGCAGTAAATGAATTTACCTTCACAGTTGACCTCGTGGGAAAAGCTCCCACCCATCAAGCGTCGTTTCCCTAGACCAAGACCACTGTGCGTAAAACCATTTATCCTTTATCATTGTTAAAGTATCTTATAGTTAAATGATTAACACGCTCGGACTTCATGTAAATTATTTGAATGTGAATTTTATTCCTAGGTGGGCAATGTTTAGGACCAGGTAATTCTGAGAGTCCAAAGTTGTGGTTATATTCAGGGTCAGTGTCAGATTCAAGCTCCTCCCAGTCGCTACTTTCCGGGCTTTCCGGTTGTTTTTTTTTTTTTTACTTTTATTTAGGATTTGTTGTAGGCCTACATCTAGTTTTATTTTTTTGGTTCTTCTTCTGTCTAGGCCTATTGTTTAGGGTCCTCGACACAACACGAGACCTCCCTGTAGAAGTACTTGGCTCATCAATAGTTAGGCCTACAGGATCATCAGGATCTAGAATATTATCTTCACTGTTGGGCGTAGAACAGGTTTGATTTACACTTGCATCACATTCAGTCCTATCCTGCATAAGAGGGTTGTCACTGTCACTATCAGACATCAAGTTCCATTTTGCCTAAAGTTGGATAAAAAACTATTACCAGTCAGTAAAAGAATGACGTCACTCACCATGATGGAAAAGCCAGTCCGCGTAGTAGGCTTGGTAGTCAGGTGAGTTCGGCAGAAGGCGGGTCACGTGGTACAGCAGCTTGGCTGCTATTGGCGGAGAATGAAGCTTGGCTAACACCAGGTAGGCAGGACTGTAGGAGGTGTCCAACCGAAGACATGCTTCCAGCATCTTCACAGCCTCGGCTGTACGATTCATCTTCCTGAAACAAGAACAAGATGAGATTCCAGCACCAGATGGACGGGGCTAAATCTAGCACGCTCAAATAATCCTAATAAACGTATGAGTTCTGTAAGAAACAAAATTGTTTTATATAATTTTATTAGATTGCACAACAAAGTTTTCCTCCTTTGCAGGTTTTTTTTAGATATGGAGACCAACATATTGCCATAATCCATGAAGTAAACTCTCATCACCCAAAATGGACTTAGAACAAAAGACAGATTAAGGTTGCCTGTACCACCGTGGTTTTGTATTGTGACGTATCTTCAAGTCACCGTTGTTTGCAGGTTTATCGGTGTTTGAACCTTTTGGATCTCTAAGCTAGGAATCTCACACTCAAATACAAGTTTAACAACACTATCAAACAAACTCATTGTGCTTTGAAGTTAAAATGATAACCAATAGACCAGCTATACAATCTGATGTAATCCTTTTCGTTTTACTCAACTTGAAACAATGCAGGACAAATTGTGGTCATCTAGTCATGATAGGATTTAAAATGGTGTACCAAACCACTTTCAATTGAAATGATGGTTGTAAATTTTCTATGTAAGATTTTGAACAGATACATCAGAGGCTAAGAATATATCATACATAAATATTAAGGTGGATTCCGAACCACAGGGACACGATATAACGTCGCTAAACCCCTTGAAATCTTCCACCTCTAACCTCCACAAACATCAACCATTCATCAACCATTCTCATAAAACTATCCAAGTACACTCCACCCCATAAGTATGCAGACTGGTTGCATGGTACAGTCACTGTTAATAACGATGTGTCAAAATCTGATGGAGTAATTTCACTGAGTCCGTGCGTCTGTCTTGAATACCGAAGTAGTTCATTACAGTCGCATGTTGTACCTGACTCTCATTCTCTTGCAAACTCCAATAAGCGAGTGCCATGTCAAATGTCATGCTTCGTCTAGTGTTGGAGTAGTTGTAATTAAACTTGTGTGTTTTGTGTTCTCCATCATCTAGTTTTTCAGTTTGCATTATGCAAAAGTGTTCTACGAATTGATTTGACTTGTGGTTTTTCTTTTATGAAGTTTTTTGTTGATGATAGATGTTGTTTGAAGAGTATATTTAGATTTTTTTTTGATTTGGAACATTACAAAACTGTTTTATTATTCAGTATTGTCAAATGATACAGAATGTTAATGCTGCTTCACGTTGTTGTATTAACACACTCACTAAAGGGAAAACCACTTATAATATTTTTTTTTTCAACCACATGTACCCTACAAAAAACATACAACCATTTTCATTACTTAGAAAACGATCCAGCATGACATAATTTAAACTATTCATCCAACAGTCCATTGTAGTCTTAAGACCTATTCAGACTTTCGTAACTAAGAGAATCATAATGTCGTGTTTCTGCTAAAATAAAATATGCTTTGAATAAGAATAAAGGCAAACTTAAACTATATGTGTGTCCATAGGAAAAGTAGTTGTTTTATAAAAAAAAACAGGGCTTACGAGTATTTACAGTGTATAGTTACGTTCTTATGTGTATACACTTAACATTAGCATAAATTCGACAAAAATACTGAAAATGTTTATTAAATGCAGAAAATGCAAAAAGAAAAAATAACTAAAGTGTATGTCAAAAGCTGACCAAGCCAGTTATTCTATTTTAAAACTTAACATAGGCAGAAATTCGACAATATTACTGAATATCCTTATGAAATGCAGAAAATGCAAAAAAAAATCTAAATGTTAAGTTAAAAGCTGACCAAGTCAGTTATTCAATTTAAAAGTGTTAAAAATAAACGTTTGTAAAAATTTACTGTGGAAAACATATTAAATAGTTTGTACCATATTTACGTTTACATAAAAGGGGCCAAGTTTCTTAATTGGTCGATTTGAAATAGGTTTTCGTGTGGTAAGTGTACTTTCAAAAGTACGAATTCACTTACACAAACTGTTCTTAACCCAATTATAAAAAATATATTTTAATTCATTTTATACAAACACAAATCACTAATATTCACCATTAATCAGATTCAATGAAAGTGCTTAAGCATCCTGATAACTCTCCCTCTTCAAATCCAATATCCCAATACTTGGTACAAAATCATGAGCGCGGTTTTGAAAGAGGTTCCCGCCAAAACAAGTGATTACATCCCGCGGTTTATGTCGGTTTTCAATGGATACTTCAAAAGTAAAGTGGTCTGAACATTGGGCGGTATGTAATCGTGTAATTCTCTGCTCTAACGAGTTTTAATATTGCGCTGCAAATTTCATTAAAATTAATACCAATCGATTTTACACGAACTAAAGTCCTTTTGTTGAACATTTTGAGTGGTCGGATTTTCACATAGATGTTTTCTATGAATATGAATGTGATTTTCTTTACCAAACTTTGTGAAATATCTTTTGAATAACTTCTGAATAAACATTGAACGTTTTATTTACGGAAAGTAAATAAAACATGTTCAATAACACTTGAAACATATGTTTACACTTAAATGCCTTACAAGGGAGTACATTTTAAAACAAGGTAAGTGGTCATCGATTTCGATCGGTTATTCCTAATGATTATTCGATGAATGGGGTGTATACAATATTAACTTTCAGTAAATATTTTATTAAAAAGCAAAATATAATTTAAGGTTCGAAAATAACATAATCGTATTTTTAAGGTTTGGCATTTAATGGAAAATTTTCAATTTCTTTAAAAGAAAAAAAAGAAAATACGAAATTAAAAGACCTATTGAAATTGAAAGTATCTTAGAATATTCTATGATTAAAATAAAGACAAGACTTTAACTTGACTATATAAAACGTCAGTAAAAGAAAACCCTTTAAATATACCCCTACATTAAAAAAATTCTTTCCCCAAAATCTACAATTCACTGCTAGCTCCTTATTACATGATCCGCTGTGAGTTAAAACGAAATTAAAATATTCTATTTAGTTTCGAAGTTTCTCTTCCAAATTTATCCGATCCTAAATAAACAATATTTTTGAAGCAAAATAAATGCGCTACTACTGATTTCCATACAAACATATTTACGATGATATGGATGTTTTCTGTTGTTGCTATAAAAATATATATTTTTTTATGTAAGGGTGTCTGTTACTTTTAGCATATTTTATCCAAGCTATGTTACTTAAGTCTAAACTTATTATACATATCTATATTTTTAGTTTTCATTAATGTGGGAACTACCTGGTTATGATTTGAAATTAACTTGTTAGTGTTGAAAAAAATACGATAATTGGGATACGATAATTTTTACTCTGGCACCATAATTTTCAGGTTTCTACCATAATTTACCACTTCACTGACCTGTACACTTGGCCTAGGTTGTAGTGTGCGTTGACGTGGGAGGGAGAGATAGTTATGGCAGACTTGAAGTGGCCTTCAGCCTCACTAGGGGAGCTCATTAGGGTCCCCAGATTGTTGTGTGCGCTGGCGTACCCGGGCCATAATCTGCAACAGTCAGCACTGTACAATTAGTTGCTCGAAGAAATGTACAATTAGTTGCTCAAAGAATTGTACTTTAAGTTGTTTGAAGAACTGTACAATTTGTTGCTCGAAGAACTGTACAATTGGTTGCTCAAAGAAATGTACAATTAATTGTTGGAAGAACTATACAATTAGTTGTTCAAAGAACTGTACAATTAGTTGCTCTAAGCACTGTACAATTAGTTGCTCTAAGCACTGTACAATTAGTTGTTCGAAGAAATGTACAATTAGTTGTTCAACGAAATGTACAATTAGTTGCCCTAAGAAATGTACATTATTTGCTCGAAGAAATGTATAATTAGTTGTTCGGAGAACTATACAACTAGTTACTCGAAGAAACGTACACTTAGTTGTTCGAAGAACTGTACAATTAGTTGCTCTAAGTACTGGACAGTTAGTGGCACGAAAAACTGTACAATTAGTTGCTCGAAGAACTGTACAATTAGTTGCTCGAAGAACTGTACAATTAATTGTTGGAAGAACTGTAAAATTAGTTGTTCGAAGAACTGTATAATTGGTCGCACGAAGAACTGTACAATTAGCTGTTCTAAATACTGTACAATTAGTTGTTCTAAGCACTGTACAATTATTTGTTCGAAGAACTGTACAATTAGTTGCTCGAAGAACTGTACAATTAGTTGTTCTAAATACTGTACAATTAGTTGTTCTAAGTACTGTATAATTAGTTGTTCGAAAAACTGTACAATTAGTTGCTCAAAGAACTGTACAATTAGTTGTTCTAAGAACTGAACAATTAGTTGCTCAAAGAACTGTACAATTAGTTGCTCAATATCGAGTACAGTTCAAAAACAGCATTCTTTATTTAGTATAACTAGGTTCTAAAAAAACGGAATTTCAAGGATTGTGAGAATTTTACCGTTAAAAACATGATTGAAATTTATTTTGTTTGGCTGAAATAATTTAATACGATAGTTTGACTGCCTTTAGCAATCTGAACTATATAAGTTCCATAAGGTTGATTTTGAAGTCGAAACTTCGAATCTTTAATTATTTAATAAGTACAGCGACTTTTGAAACCTGAAACTGATAAAGAAGCTACCTCTCATTAATTGCATTCAGATAAATTCTTGTTGCACTTTTTTTACTAAGTGTAGTTTTTAATCAATCATTTTTTAATCCTTTTCACGTTTCTAAGATAAGAAAATACTAATTCATAACTATATTACTGTTTAGGACTAGTTACGTATAAAAAGGTTATGTATAAAGCAAAGTCAGGGTCAAACTTTATCCAGAATAACCTCTTTAAACTTTTGAATCATCGAATCAATCTGAAAATATACTAATGTCCTGTCTAAGGTTTACCATGTAGTAAAAGTCATATTTACCTTAAGATATACACAAAATGTTACTTATACATTATTTTTATTGAGACAGCCAAATAAGTATTAAATGACGGCCTTTTTCTAAGGATAATTTTAAAAATGTTGTTTATCAAGATTTGAACAACACTATACATTTTAATATATGTCTTGAATCACTTAAAAAGTAAAAAAAATATTTTTGATTGTCAACATTAATTATAAAAAATGTATCCACTTAAACATGATTGTTGTTTTTCATAGTATGTTCACTAACCAGTATACATTAATAGTATAAGCTATGTATGATTGTACTAAAAATATTTAAATTAATTTATTCATCAGAAGCTACAACGAAACACTATACCATTTTTAATCATGCTGAGACAACAAGGAGGAAACGGTGAACATTTCAATGCAAACTGTATCAAATGTCAATGAAATGTAAATGAAAATTTTCATCGAATTCAAAAGCAAAGTGCAATAAAACGTCGTGTAAAGAATACTTTTGATTCATCATCTCTTTGTCAAGTAATATTCGTGCCAAATGAAACTGAACTTTAATAAAACATTGCATACCTTTGTGACTAGATTTTCATTGTGTGCAAAGAATGTTTTTCCAATTAGACTAGGAGAATACTATGTCAAGTAAATAGCAAATCAGTTATAAGTCAGCTATTTTTCTTTTAGATACATCAATTTATAAATATTAATGATTTAATAAATGTTGTTCCCTTTAGGACGTGTATTATATCAAACACTTAAGCTATGTTAAGTTGGGAGTGTTTTTTTGAAAATTGGTTTTCGTTAGTGATGGAAGAGATTCATTTCGTTTTTTGTTACTAGTGTCAAGCAATCTTTTTTCTCTATTCATTCTACCATGTTCTAACCCAGAATTATTTTCATCATTACTTGATGCTCTAGAGAGAGTCACAGCATAACTAAAAAAATTCCCGTGCTCTATCGCTTTACCAACTCCCTTATACAATACTCAAGTATAACTTATTTATATGTCTTATGATCAAGGAAAATAATTTGTTTTAGTTCAAAAATAATAAATTACCTTATAGCCTCTTTGTAGTGAGTGATGGCTTTGTCCAGACTGTTATTGTCTCGAAGATAATTCGCCAAATTATAATGCATTTTGGCATTTTGTGGCAGAGCCTTAATTCCTGACCTGTAAAAAAAATATTTATTTCAATTTTAGAAAAATAAAATCACATTACTTCACAGGTTGACTATTTATGATAGAGTTAAAAAATAAGTTTTGGTTGCTTCGAACCTTAATCGATTTGTGCAAAGAGTGAAAAAGGGTTCTAATGTATACAATATGTAAATTTTACGTAAACCACTCTACATAAAACTAAGTAAGCTAAGCTTAAATTATAGAAATAGACGATTCAGACTGGAGAGGACTAAGTCCTTAAACAGCCACAGTAGGCTTCCAGCCCTCTGGGACTTCACGAATACACAACAGTTTTAGTGGGATAAAAACCAAAGTAGCTATTAAAAAAGTTATTAGTGAATTATATTTTACATTTTATAATATCTATGGACTGATAACTAATAAAACAGTACATTTTAAACCAAAGAAATAAGGAGAGGGATGCTAAAACCACTGACAGAGTTTTTCCTTTTCCATTTAAATTAACTTTTGTACGAAATAACTTATTTTAAAATCACAATCACACCAATAACTAAATTATTTAAATTACCTCATAGAAAATCTCATATGTGGGTTAAATGTTACATTTTCAAATATGTGTAAAGTTAAAGCTCAATAATTTGTATAGTTTAAAGCAAACAATTGTTGAAGAAGCTTGATAAAATTGCAGATAAACCTTAAAAATTATAAAAATAACATTTAAAATCCATTCTTTTTGTAACTAATTTCTACAGCCAAACTAAACATAAAGTGCAAATTTACAAGGATTTGTCAAAAAGATTCGTTGCATTTCAAACTTTCAAAACAATACATGTGTTTGTAATAAGTAATTCATGTGTTAGTAACAGAAAGCTCAAACCCTACGGAGTATTTTACAAGAAAACCGACGTTATTTTCAACATGTTTCTCTGACAGTTTGGCAAGTCAAGGTCTAACTCACTTTATAAGCGCCTCCCTGGAAGACCACGCTCTGTTTCTATCGACTGTTCTGTATGTAAATGTGGCTCCCAGTAGCAGCAGAATGATGAATACAACATTTCTTCCCCTCGGAGACGACGCTTGGTGTAATGTCTGAGCTCCGTAGGCAACCAACAGAGCAGCACCTAGACTGTAATGTAAAAATAATACAGTTTTTATTAAACTTGTCACTGCTATCATGACGATTAAAATAAAAACTAAGAAGGATAGCAGAAAATGAAAACGTCTGACTCAGAGTGCACTTTTAAAATATTTATTTCAAAACGTATTATGGGATGGTAAGTTCATCACATTGTAGATTAAATTTCAGTCGAGGATGAATCATCGTTCTAGTACAGCTTTAGAGAAGTTAATATGATTTTATGTTGATGTTTTTTTTTCTTTTGGACCCACTTGAGTGCGTTATTATCTTCTATTCAGTATAATTCTGTCACTATTTGCTACACGCAGCCGTTACAAGTTTCTAAACACTTCCAAGACGATGTATTCGACTATAAAGCAGCTATGAATCTATATGACCCCTTTTAGATTTATCATTCTTGTGGAAAAAATTAAGATATGTTCATGTTCATGGTTGAATGCGTCGGTGTCTTCTTTTCGTCTATAATACAAGGTGTCAATGTATATAAACGTTAAGGCGTATCTGTGAACTACTTTTTGCCTTCTAGTTCTACAAATAAAAACTATACTCTGTACGACAGAACCTGTCCCCTAACCGGGTCTAGCTGGGGAGTGTAGAATGGTTTAAGACCCAGGCAGACAAAGGGTTAGGAGACAGGTTCCATCATACAGACTATATAAAAATCCTTAAGTCAACATCAACATATATATGTGTGGTTTGACAACACACAATAAACCCGCTATTGTACAACAGAAAAAGAGAGAATCGAAGTACCCAAAATCAATGCTCACACACAATTAGAACAATCATCAGTAAACCACCAGACTACAGGCTGTTAGTTGACTACCACTTTGATCAAGAATTACCAAAGTTTGAAGTTCAAAGTAGTAGCAAATAATTTACAGGATGGCGTCATTCAGTTCTACAACATTCGTAGTGAATTAACCACTTGTAATTATTGCTGACAAATGAACACAAGTGCTTAGTTAGAGTCGTTCCAACGACCAACTTTGTTCGAGGAGTTAGTTTCATTAACTGATTGGATGTAATGTAAATACGGTTGCGAAACTAAGTGCTCTTCACAAATATGTATAACATTTTGATTAGTGAGGTGGGGTATGATGAAAACCATAAATTCCTTAACCAAGTTCCCCAAAGAACAATGTATGACTTACTGGTATTCTTTCTATTTTTTTGGTATCCCTTCAATAGTTTCGAAAAAAATATACTTTATATTATCAAAATTATTTCAAATGTTTATAATCTTACAATAATTTATTTTAATGCTCCGTAATCCAAGCAAATGTAATTAAATATTACGTCGATAAAATGTAAGTAATCTATTTTATGCAAAACACTATTCCCCTCTCCCCTACTGATAGTTTTTCCTCACGTTTCCTTTTAAGACTTAAACCTATACTTTAAAAACCTAAACCCAAACTCAAAAAGTTATTTCACTCTAAGCTTGATTAAAAACCGTTTGGGGTGAGTCCATGAATCCAATCCATTGTCCATTCAAGGGTTGAGTTGCCTCATTCGAGACTTATTCTTCTCATATTCTTATGAACAGATAGTAAAATAAATTCTGATAAAAAACTGTAAGCTTACTATGACCCTGATTCCTGTTTACACTTGCAAAATAAGTGTCTTTCGTCACAATGTGAAACATTTGCCATAAAGTATTAAAGCCAAGAACTAAAGTTCAGACAGATGTATCAAGGTGGCGCTAAGAAAGCCTGAATCGTAGATCAAAGGGACTTGGTAAAGCATTATGCACGTCAAGCATCAAAGGACCGCCTAAGTAAGCTCTTAGCAGCTTGATTAATATGGACACCAATTTGGTGATGCAATCAGAATTGATATATTTATACTCATTTATAATTTCATTTATTTCCTGTCGGGGAAAGATTATAAATTAGATTTTGTTGTATGATGATTTCATCTTCACAAAGAAACACATATTCGAGTTACTGCAGACGTTGGCAATGCAGCTCTGCTCGAGGCTGATGTGAGTATGTGTAACTTATGGAAATAAAGGTAAGGCGGGTTCCGAAACGTATTTAACTGTATGGCTACTCGGACAAAATATTCCTTTAACACTTAACAAAAGCTTGACTCCAAACATAGAAAACGTGCTAATATGAACCAAAGAGCATGTCTGTTGCTTTGTAAGGATAACGATGATGTTTTTCAACAAATGTATACTCAATATTTCATTTGCATTGAATATTGAGCTTAAGTTATTTAAAACACTGATGGTTAAATAATAAAAAAATATGTCAAACCACGATTATATATAACTGTATCATGTAAATTTAAACCTCTATTTGGTACCTCCAGTTAGTAACTGGTACTAAAAGCGTGAATACACAAATTTAAATCTTTACTAAAGCCCCTTTGATTTATATTTCATTTCATCTAGGGTAGTCAATACAATTTTATAATCACATGGCTTACTCATACAAATAGAGACCCTTTTCTGGAGTTCGCCTCGAGGTATGTGCATTTCATCCTAACCATAAACAGATTTGACTTTCCCCGTTTGATATTAAATCCTTTCATCACTAGCAATAACACACCAGGTTCTCTTTGGTATCAAAGGTTTGATTTTTTTTTTCATTACTAAACGGGTTTCCCATTCAATTTGCAATAAAAAGTTAAATTATAACGTTTATTCTTAAGTATTTTTGTTTGTTTTGTAGATATAAGTTATTATTATTAATTATTTTTTTTTAGATGGGAACGCCACAATTGCGTATTTTAACCCAACTATGAGTGAAGGATGGGTGGCGCGATCCTGTAGTCTTGTTAGTGACTAAGGCTGACATATTTCTTAGACACAGCTGTTAATAATATCCCAGACAGCCATTGAATGGTAACTAAAAGGGACCTACAGTTTATAGTGGAATCAGAACCACACTTTTCCCTTGTAATTAACGATTTGGTCTAATTATCAGTTAGTACTGCGGATAGTCGTAGTGCGGACGTTATTCCACACCAGGAAGGATCGCATCCACAGTGCATGCCTATAAATATCCACAATTCGTGACCCCCTAGTAGCTGGATTACAGGACGACGCCGTCCCAGTCAATTTAGGATATACAATTTAGGGCTTATCACACAATCACTTTAGCTATAACCTCACAATAACTAACACAAACTTAATAATTTTTACTGCAATGCACACAGTTGCATTGCGTTTAACTTTTAGCTTATACATGTTGAGAAAGTGGCTGTGAAAAATCAAATGCAGACGCTAATTAATAATTTATTTTGTACATACGCCAAACAATAATATTTCACCTCATGTGTCACACGTTTGTTTTATTTTCACTCAGCTGTTTGCAATGCAGACGTAATAAAAATCATAGTTTGTTTTAATCCATCATCTTGTCAAAGACCTGTAAAACATCTACTCATCAAGAGAAAGAATCATCTAGGCTAGTATATTTCAATCGATCAATCAGATAGATCACATGGATTAATTTGCAGACCGTTATGTCTTACAAATACTAAAACATTTCCGTGCATGTTAGGTGTATAGTGTGCGAGTGTTAATCTAAAATATATTGCTTGGACACACAATCTTGATGATGTTTAAACTAAATATAAGCTAAACTGTCCTTTTGGACACAACTGTCTCTCCCCCTCCCCCCTCTCCACCCACTCCACTAACTCACCCCCAATTGGCCCGATAGATTGAGCCATTCACACTGGGGAAATCTTTGCCGAGTTACTTTCTGTACAAGGTTAACCCCACTTTCTCATACATATTTTATATTTAACATAAATGAACGAACACATTTTATTAACTTTTAAAATTAATTACAAGGACGGAGTTTATGTTGACTCTCACTTAGATTAACAAGTTAAAGTTAAGTGTGCGAGACTTAACTCTACCTCTGAAACCAGACGAGGCAGATCTAACTGCCAGAAAGTTTGATTTCACTTTATAACGAAATGTGTGTGTTTTATGATTACGTTTCAAAGAATTATATTGAATATCAAACTTTCAACCATAACAATTTTATGAGTGTTATTGTGTCTTAATATACTCAAAAAGATGCAGATGATAAAATACTTATGTGAAAAGATAATTTATTGAAGGCAAATTAATAATATATCACCAACTTGAAGGTAGTTTAAATTCTGCACTCTGTTCAATGTGTTATCATAAAAACGTGCACTAAAGATTCTCTAATTTGACTATTTTGTGGTTTTATATATTTAGGCAAGTTTGTTTCTGCAAAATTTAAAGGAAAATAATAATTAACACATGGTAAAGTTTAATCAATATCAACCAATCTCTTTGTCAATAATACAGATTCGTTGCAGTTAATTCTACAACATCATAAACATAAGAAGGCATAAGATAATTTCAGTTCGCCTGAATGAAAATTATTTACCATGGTTCTGTAACAAAAGCTCAGTTCTTTGGAAAACAACACCAATATCCGTTAAAAATTCCCTAAACTAACATCTGTTATAATTGTGACTTGTGGCTAAATCGAAATCCTCATCCACTTCTATGTTGACTTTCTCTTAGTTGAATTGAAATTAGCTCAATTTTGTTCTCTTCTAAGCAAACGACAACACTCTAGTTCACGTTCACAACAACTGGGAGGTAGATTGAGCTGAATCCTAATTCGACTCTGATTAGTCAAGACCACTCTGACAACCTCTGATTGGGCACGTGGACTTGATTGTCCGCTGTCAAAAAGAGCAAGTATTGCAGATTGTCTTCTGTATTTGACGAGCGTTTTCAGAGTTGCTGAATCAATCTCCGAGAGACACGATGTTTGTTCAGTGGATTTCGAACGAATGTTCGCTTTGTTTTAAGTTTAAACAGCAACAGTATGCATTAATTCTTGAAGAATTTAAACTGGTCACTTTTCCAAGTAGTGCTGCCAGTTACAGAATTTACAATTGTTTGTATTAATAAGTTCATGCCATCAGAGAAATAATATGTAAGTTTCACTTATTTAAAAAGCTCCTCTTTTCTCTACGTAAATTTTACAATCCACAATTAAAATTTAAGTTGTTCTCACCTAGGGATGTAAAGCACCCTCTCAGCCACTACAAAGCCGACAGTGAAGAATATATTTGCGGCAGGCAGGAAAGGTATGGCTAGAAGCAGCACACCCAGGACTAGAGGAGCAGACCGCTGGTGCTGTAATAAAACAGGCACAAGTTTTATAATAAACGTAAAATTATATTAGGACAGATTCGTATAAGGATAAGTCAATTCCAAAACAAACAAAATGAAGCGTTACTGAAAACATTTCCCAAACTATTCTTATACGTGCAGAAATTGAATAATGTTAAGTTTTGCTTGTATCCAGTACGATCCTGACTATAAATGAAGTGTCTGAACAAGAGGTTCCATTTAAATATTCATGGAAGGAGTTGTAGGCAGTTTAGCTACTTAAAGAATTTCAGTTTGATTAAAGAAGTCCGTGGGCCTGGGGCTGTAAATTTTTGTTTTGCAAAGTGGAAAGGGTAGACTCGGTGGTGTAATAGAATGAATTTAGTGATGACGTTTATTTGACATCATGTGAAGGAGAATTAACTACATCTGTTCTAAGGTTTTGTAGTCCTTCACAATAACGAGTAAGCTATTGACTAACCTTGTTGAGGCAACAAATATCTGAGCTTTTTTTAATTTTCATTATTGTATGTTATAGTTTTTATGATTCCCAACTGAAAAACTGGAAAAGTTTTGTAAAATATTACATCTTTCAAGACTCGTAACTTTTCATAGCAGAAAAATATATAATTAAAAATGTAACCATGTTAGTTGCCTTATTGATTAGATACTTGTAATTAGATACTTGAAAAATGTAATATAATAGATACTTCCCATTATATTACATTTTTAAGCCAAGAAAATGGATGAAGTTCAGGACCATTTCAACAGAGCGAGCTAGTGTATCCAGCAAACACCTGATTGATTAATCTTTTTACACAGAATATTGTCATTAGTTGGTAGACCATCTCAACAGATCACAACAAATATTTTTGGCTTCAACTGTTTACATTACATGGGAAGTCTATTCTGTGTATAGTCAGTGTTACACTCATTGATTTGTTTATTTAATTATATTCGTTTTAGAACAAACCTGATCGGAATCGAAGAAACATAGCTAGTCATACAAGCATAATGTCAACTACAGTATCGAAAGCAAATTGTACAATCATAACTGTAGAAAAGCGAATGAGAGAACCAAATCGGAATTTAATTTGCTAGTCGGGAACCATTACTTTGTATTCAGTGGCCCATCCTAACCAAAATGCATCAAACGAACATGATTCGACGTTTTTTGTATCAGCTGTAGTTTATTTTTATTCCAATTTCACATTGTGTCAAAAAAGAAATTTCTGCTACCCAAACACCTTCAAGCTCCCTTTAACATTAAAATCACACAAAGTTTAAAATGACTTCTAAGTTCTCAACCAACAAGCCGAAAGTTACAGAAGTTACAGTCGGCAGTTCGTTAACTAACACAAACTGTAACAGGCTTGCGGCGCGCGATGAAGAGGTGTCAAACGTCAAGTAAATACTAATGAAGCCCTCAGGTCTGTGTCACGTGATCAGCCGCCATCTTGAGTCGACAATAGCGCGTGCCTGGAGCGGCGAGTCAGGACGGTACTAACGAAGACCTTCGGGCAACGCGTGACAACTCATAGTGGAGGGTGCTTCTTTTGAGTGGGCGGGGGCGGGGGGTTGTTGAAGATTCGTGAAGAATGCGTTGAAGAGAGAATGGGAAAGCTGATGTATTCTTTTTTAGTGAAAGTTTTGAAATTGCATAAATCATTGAGGGTAGGCATTTATAGATGGAAGTAAAATGAACGTACAAAAGTGTAGGGGGGGAAAAAATAATAGGCAAAACCACAGGGTTTGGTTTGGTACTGCATTCTTTATGTCTATGATACATTGTTACACCTTAAAAGTTCATTAACTTAAACATAAAGGAACAAAATCAGCTGATGAAAATCCAAAAAAGAATATGTTGAAACTTTATGTATTACGAAGGTGCTTGTTTTTATGAAGGGAAGGAAGAAAAGGTTATGGAACAAAAAATTATTTGAGGCTATAATGTGTTTGCTGATGATTTTTTATTTCGGTATCGGGTCAATTTGTAACTATTGCATGCAATTTGAATATGTGCTTATATGATGAAAGAAAAAGTAGATCGATGTACAGTTCCAACATGTAAACCCCTTAGAGTTGGAGAACATAATTGGTATAGAGCACAGAATGGATTGCCAAACAATCATGGATTCTATGCATTGATATAGATTTTTTTATTGGTACGCATTATACTATTAGGTAGTACCACTTACAATACTTACAATTTACTGAGATTAAAAGGAGAACTAGGTTTGATTTTTTACTTCATCAAGATTTTCCTTACATGGTTGTAGATATTTCACAACGGTTAGGTCTAACGTAATTTAGCAACGACATTGCATATCTAATGAAATACATCCCTTGATTTTTTTCAACACAAGATAAAGGAGTAGCCTAAAATAATACTATCTTATATCTAATTGGATCGTTAACGGAGGGGCAGAGTATAAAAAAATACATAAATATTACTTGTCTTACCTCAAACTCAGCGATGAGTCGATAAGCCAGCAAAAGGCAGAAGGTTAGAAGCAAACCAGTTGTAAGGTTGCGACAGTCAGCCAGTGATGTCACTAGAGGTATAGAACCCATCTGCCAGTCATGACTGAGAATGGAGGGACACAACAGTAACCACCAGTTGAAGGCAGCTAGGTACCAGAACGTCAATAACCTGTGAAAAACATGACTACATCACTACAATGTAACAGTCAGTGACGTCACTAGAGGTATAGAACCCATCTGCCAGTCATGACTGAGGATGGAGGGGCACAACAGTAACCACCAGTTGAAGGCAGCTAGGTACCAGAACGTCAATAACCTGTGAAAAACATGACTACATCACTACAATGTAACAGTCAGTGACGTCACTAGAGGTATAGAACCCATCTGCCAGTCATGACTGAGGATGGAGGGGCACAACAGTAACCACCAGTTGAAGGCAGCTAGGTACCAGAACGTCAATAACCTGTGACAAACATGACTACATCACTACAATGTAACAGTCAGTGACGTCACTAGAGGTATAGAACCCATCTGCCAGTCATGACTGAGGATGGAGGGGCACAACAGTAACCACCAGTTGAAGGCAGCTAGGTACCAGAACGTCAATAACCTGTGACAAACATGACTACATCACTACAATGTAACAGTCAGTGACGTCACTAGAGGTATAGAACCCATCTGCCAGTCATGACTGAGAATGGAGGGACACAACAGTAACCACCAGTTGAAGGCAGCTAGGTACCAGAACGTCAATAACCTGTGAAAAACATGACTACATCACTACAATGTAACAGTCAGTGACGTCACTAGAGGTATAGAACCCATCTGCCAGTCATGACTGAGGATGGAGGGGCACAACAGTAACCACCAGTTGAAGGCAGCTAGGTACCAGAACGTCAATAACCTGTGAAAAACATGACTACAATGTAACAGTCAGTGGCGTCACTAGAGGTATAGAACCCATCTGCCAGTCATGACTGAGTAGAGGTTAGAACCCATCTGCCAGTCATGACTGAGTAGAGGTTAGAACCCATCTTATAGTCATGACTGAGTAGAGGTTAGAACCCATCTGCCAGTCATGACTGAGTAGAGGTTAGAACCCTTCTTATAGTCATGACTGAGTAGAGGTTAGAACCCATCTGCCAGTCATGACTGAGTAGAGGTTAGAACCCATCTGCCAGTCATGACTCAGGGTGGGAAATATAACATCTGTTTTTAGGCATACAATTTTTTTGATTTCGGTTTCATGTAAAATTATTAGTACAAGTCATACAGATAATGAAGTTTTTTTTTAGCAGATACAGTATCTGCAAATATACTTTGGCTTACCGAACATGTAAGCAGGGATGGAAAGCGGTTGGGTTGTCCTGACTAGAAAACTTGGGCAAAGATCCTTGCAGCATGGCAATACGAAACGCCAGCAACATGCTAGTCTGAAAACAACAAGGTATATAAGACAAACCTCACTAACAGTTTATCCTTCAAATATATAAATGATTTAGATGAGGCAATATATGTTTGTTTATTGTGTAAGTAGTTTCAAAATAACTACATAGTTATTAAGACCGACTTAATTCATAAAATAATTATGAACTTTACTACTGTAAGGTGCATTAGGTAAATTTTTTTTATCCCTACTTATAATGTGACGGACTGAGAAATAGTAAAATATTACATAGATATGTTACGCATACAGATAAAATAAGAAAAACCATTCTTATCATTCGGAATGTCCTTGTTTACGTTCAACCATAAAATAAAATACATTTTAACACAAATTTAAAATACTAAATTGAATAATTATGCTACATTTTATGTATTTAGAAGAACAAAAACTTATTTAGGATACAATTAACTTCGGTTTTTATCTTTCTACTTTGACATAAGCAAAGTTTGTGTAGGGAATGAAAAACAAAAGCGTCGTTTCAGCTCTTTAAGTAGTCAGCATAACGTATTTTTTTCCAGAACTCGTATAAAGGAAGCCGAGTAAAGTTGAATATCTTGGCTTCCCCACGTTTGCCTTTGACAAAAAGCCAACTTGACTTTATTTTGGTTGCAATGACGTGTAAAACCCAGCGTTAAGGCTTCTTCTTATTCAAAGTGTAAAGTTCAAAGAAAGATAACAGCTAAGTTTTGCTGATTTGAAAAACGTTTAGTTTTTGTTGAAAGCTGTTACGATGGTGAATACGCCCCCGGTTTCGTTATTTTCAATGTTTTAATGGATTTTTTTATATTCTCGCCCAAACCTTATAAACCTTGTGCACAAACAGATGTTTCAGCTACGTTGCAATCCCATGGTCTACTTATAAGCCTGGCCCTCTGCTTAAAAAACCTTGTGAATTAATTAGTCAAAAATAGTAAGTTAGTTAAACTAGTTTAATTTTGTCTCACACCGAAAGGACAAGCAAGAAGTAATAAAATGTCTGACTTTATGTGTAACCTACGAAAAATCCACTTACTCTGTCAACTTCCACCCTTGTCCACCGTTTATTTTATGTGTGTCCACCAAATTTAAATTAAACCCCTTATAGTTTACACTTTTATATAACAGGTTTTAGATGATGTGATACTATTTTAATACATATAAGTATTGAATAAATGTATTATGTATACTTACGGTAAGCAAAATTTTGACAGTTCTCCTTGCAAATGAAAGGCTTTCCTTGTTCCAATGGGCTTCTGACAGAGCTCTGAAAAATATAAAGATAATATATATAATAATATATATGATAATATATATGATAATATATATGAGATATGATAATATTATCAAAATAGTGTGACGGTGTTATTAAAAAATGTAGACTGTAGAGTATGGGTAGATGTACGTTTTATAAAGAGTTTTACATCAGATAAAAACTTAAATTTACTATAACAAATATGTTGTGTTCTAAATGATAACCTATGTATGAACTGGATAGTTTGTGTGTACATATTTTGTTCATGATTTTATAGTTTTTAACGCACAAAACTTTAACAGGAAATATGCTGCATACCAAAATCTTCAATATGGTGTTTTAAATCCTAAAAGTTAACAAGAAAGTATGAAAAATCATTTTTCTATATACTACTATTTAGCTTAATCAATTAGTATAATTATCAGTAAATATTTGTAATAGAATAGAATATCTATAAACAATAATTTACCTCTTAAGATGAGGCCAGCAGTGGTAGAAGTCATAGCCTAAATTGACCAATAGCACAGTAACTCCAGTCTCCTTGGCTAGCATAGAAAGACCCGCGACTACACAGCTCCATAAAACACTGCTTTTCCATCTCCACCCCTCACTGAACAAATAAAACATTGTCTTAGGTAACAAATAATAGTTTGTAGGTTGATTTACATGAAACTGTTAACCTTTGGAAATGTCAAACATGGAATATAGGGGATCCAAGGATCTTCCTGAAATTTTTACACAGAAATGTCACTGAACTATTTGCTAAAATGTGCTACGCAACAACTGGATAGCATTTCTCCAGCTGGAGCTCCTTTTTTTGTTCGAGGGACAAATATTATCTTAATTTTTCTTATTGTTTATAGTGTCTACAATAGGTTAGGTTACCTTTTTATGTCCAAGTAATACTACGGAATTACTAACGGAAGTACCTACAATGGAAGTAATTTCACTTGGACAGAAAAAGCTAACTTACCTCTTTTAGATAATTTGTGAGAAAATCCAGAATGAATACATAAAATGAATGTGCATAGTGCTTGCATTATTCACTTTTAAGTTTTAATGAAACCCCTTTGAAATCATTCAATAGTTTAGTTGAACGCTTGAAAAATATTAATTCAACAACTTTTACATCCCAAAACCCCCTGGTATTCATTTTGCAACCACTTAGTTAAGATACAAAGTTTCACATTAGAACCAGATGTAAATCCAACCAGAGTCAAAGTTTATTACAACCTTGACACAAGAAAGTTCACTGTCAGCCACAAACTGCAATTCAAGACAGTCGTATGCTAATATAATCACTTTGTTCCCTACAAGCTTGTGATGCTGACAGTTTCTTGTGTATGTCTTAGTCTCTAAAACAGACTTGTAATGGCCCTTGGAAATTTCAAAGTTAGATTTCACTGCCTATGCAATGCTATTTTTAGGCTTTAAAATATTGTAACCCTCTATCAATATAAAATTCGTCGTTTCTTTCAAATCAAAATTTTCCAAAACATTTTTACAGTTTAATATTTTACCCATCCTAATCTAATGTTCACTGCTTTTACACTTTAATTTTTTTATAACTATATTCAACTTACTCATGGTATATGATGAAGGAGAGAAGGAAAAGAAGGCAGGCAAGTACATCAGCTCGGCCAACTACACCTGCTACCTGCGAAAGTATGTAATATTTTAAAACAAATTTATTATTTTTGGTAACAGAAAAAGTTGAGTATATGATTTGACAGCCCGGCTACCACTAGTGGGAAGTGTAGCCTCTGTCAGTCCAAAGTTGACTGAAGTATCCATGATTACTTCTGTTATGATTATTTTATTAAACTGAAAAAGTGTAATATCAAACTCTGGGGAAGAAGTACCTACCTTCCTGAAAGTAATGTATAGAAGAAACGTATTTGCAAAATTACGGGGTTCCGAAATCCTGAATTATTGTCTCATTCATTTATGTACGCTGTATTTTCTGTGACATGAAGCCCTTTTAAGACCTTAAAGATTATTTGCCATCGGGATCAGTACTTTCCTCTTGTTTTAAGTGCTAACGCCATGCACCATAGTAATAAATGTTCCACAAAGCTAATATATGGAGATAGGATATTGCTCTGGTGAATCCATAAACAGACGTGATTACACAGTGGTACTTTTGCTTCAGAAAAATGTCTTAGAAAAGTATTTCAAACAATGGATATAGAAATTAAAATGTCCTGGGCAGATTAAAATTATTTCAAGTAACACAGTAGGCTACTTTATCAAAATGGTACACAGACTATTTAGAAACAATAGTGGACTGAGGAGTAGTTAGACTAAATTTTACACAACGTACCAAGTATAAAGAGCACATGGTGTATTAAAAGCAAAGTTCATAATATTATCTGAAAATTAAACACAAGAATCCAGTAGTGCAGTATGCTTGACGTTTGGGGGATTCATTGCACAAATTTAGCTTTCATTATCTTTGGTCTTATAAATATAATAATTCTCAAGACTTTTAAGTTTCTTATGGATTAAAATCGACTTTAAAGGTTATTTTAGAAAGCAATCAAATTGAAACTATAAAACCGCAGTGAGCAGAGTCTCTCGGGAGTACCTTAGTTTCCTCTCGCCACGAAGTTGGTACAAACTTTTTTACTCGCTCTTGAGTGGAAACCAAACAGAAAGTTTTTCTTTTACTGCCACTCGAAATCACAAAATAAGCAAATGAAAGTCCTCGATAAAAACGTGATGCTGGAACCAACGTTTGGATAACTTTGGTAATCTTTGCTGGTAAATTAAATTGCAATTCAAGAGTTAAACTATAAATCTTATCCAACTTGATTTAAAAACCTCTTTAAATTAGCTTGCAGTGTTTCTTAAATTATTTTCTATATGTATGACTTCATTTTAAATTATTAAATTAATATAAATACATTTAGACATAAAATTAAATTGTTGTATGGCTTTTCATGGATTGAATTCTCTTAGTAAGCGACAATTCTTCAAGCTGTTTTTTTTTTCTTTAGGATTGGTGGACCTTTCCTTGTTAAATGTATTCTGGCCATTTTGTTAGTAATTATTTTTTCGTGAGTGGTCAAGAATTTTAACATTTTAGGATAAAAACTGACATAATAAATTTGTTTATAAAATCAACGTAGTTTTTTATCATTACAAATAACTAATGGCTGAAAAAAATTTTAAAACTAAAGATTTTCAAATTAAACATTAATCTAATTTATAGGTTAGTAATAACACTATTGCCATGTTGTATTATTACCAAATAATGGCATTCAATATAGTTTGACAATAGTGTAAAATGGACTTTTAATCAAATGGTTTATTAACAGTGTTAGATACTTCGAATTTCAATAGGACAACATTAGCTTTGTTTCACAAATTTGGAACTGATGTTATTGGTTTTAGGTAGCATATGTAATCTTTAGTTTTAGCGATAAAAATGTGTATAAAGCAATGTAGGTTACACTTAAAAATATATGTACTAGTAACAGGTGATAAACTAATTACTTATGTTTTAAATATGCAAAACAAATCAAGTATTCAGAACAGTTGCATTATTAATTAGTATTTCATTTAAATAATTACTCTAATACATTATACAATTTGATTTCCTGATATCATTAATACATATAGCTTTAGGTAATCAAAGTCAATTTGTTATCACTGACAACTATTTTACCATATCGATTTATATAAATTTAAAATAGCTTGTGCTTTTTCAGTTCATCATCATTCATTCATCATTATTTCAAATACGAAAAACTCTCAAGGTTTTGGTATGAAAATGTTAAGGTTTATACAGTTATATCGTGTTTAAAACTATATAACGACTATTAAAATATGCTTTATTTAATTTCTGAGTTTGATTCATTAGCCAACGAACGTCAATTCGACAACTTTAGCCTACCTTACTGATCCTAAATGTAGGGAACAACACTTTTTTAACGTCAGATTGGGAAAGTACTTGCTTAAAATCACTTTATAGAAACTATTTACATTCATCAACAGTGATCAGCAAAACTTACTAAACGTTAGTCAAGCTTGAAGTTATCAAGCTAATCAAGAACTTTTATTTGCTTATTTTGTGATTTCGAGTGGCAGTAAAAGAAAAACTTTCTGTTTGGTTTGCTTTCCACTCTAGAGTGAAAAAGTTTGTTCCAACTTCGTAGAGAGAGGAAACTAAGGTTTTCCCTAGCGTTTGTGTTCACTACAGTTTTATAGCTTACATTTGATTGCTTCATAGAACAAACTTAAGACCGCGAATCAAATACTTTGAAATAAGTTCAGAATGTCATTTATCTAACCAGGAAGTTTTTTCTCTTATGTAATAAACTTGATGAATTACTTAAAAACTGAAATATTTAAACATCTACTTTTAAATATAACAATTTAATATTGTTTTATCCAGTTCAACCAAAAATGGTGCTAGTATAGCATCACTACAACTTTTTTCCATGTTTGTCTAAAGTACAATATATCCCAAAACAACTTACTTTATCCTTACTCTACTTCATCAACTGCATTCAACCCCATTTTATTCTTATTAGGCTAGATATCATCAAACCTAGTTTAGCCAGCTTGAACTTAGCATAAAGAAACAAAGCTTATCCTTCCCAGTTTCCCAAGTCTACAAAGAACCTTTCCTCCCTTCAATACAGAACCTATCTAACCTAGCCCACGACCTTCAAATATTAAACGTGCCAAAATATCAACCATCATAATTCAATAACCTCACTCTTTCTTTTGACCCAATCCGTCTTAATTAGTCGATACTCTAACCTAATCAAGTAATTTATCAACATTAAACATCTATACCTAATCCACCAAACTTTTTACCTAACTTATCACAATTTCCCCAATATAATCATAACCTAACTAGTAGTTCACTACCGTTGAACTACTAAACTATTCGAAGTCTTATTCCTTTAACATAACCTAGCAACTTACAAAAGGAGGATATAGTGGTCACTTATCTGCTAATAATACAGGATGGCCTAAAAATAATTAATCAAATCTACAGCTTAATATATGTGTCACTAAGAGTGGTTGAAAATTACACGGTTAAATAGTTGAATCAACGATGGCTGATTTTAAAGCTTCCGTTTTCAAGTTTTTTTAATACCCTTCAACAGTTTTCAGCTGTTCCATTGTTGTTAGCAGGTTTGCATTTTCAAAACATGAAGTTGCAAAATGGAGGTGCACTTGAAAGCGAATTGTATTGAATGGTTTTAGACGAAATCTATGGTGTAATTTTTTGTCTAGGGGTTTGTTAAATATCAACTGTATCGCACACAGATATCAAACACAGATGAATATAAGGGCGGCCTTTGGAAAATATCCAAGAAAATGCGCCACAATGTGTGGTCAGAGCTGGAACGCCCACTTGACTTTCTTCGAGCAAATAACGGAGAACATGTAGAGGTTCTCCAGTAAAACTATTGACAACTTAGGAAGTTAAGGCATGAAAAGTAAAATTATCTTCTTAAATAATTAGAGTTAATACCAGATTACTTTTTATCCATTCTTTTTGGGACACCTGTATTATATATTACATTTTCGTGTTTTGTGGACTTACCGCCTCTGTATGCACGGGGTGGACGGCGAACAAAAGACCAGCGACGGTGGCGAACCTAGCGTCGAGTCCGGCTACTACGAGCGCCACCCTTGTTAGTAGTGCGCAAGAAACCGCGTGTAGTAATATGTTGACTGCGTGAAACCAGACTGGCTGTAGCCCTCCTGCCCAGTGGTTCAACCTGCAACAAATATACAATAGTTGTAGAAGTGGTAAAAAAACATTTGAGATACAATAAAACAGAATCAAAGTAAATTTTGGAACATAGATCAGGTTATAGTGTCTTGGGCACCCCTGCTGAAAATGAATTATGAAACTTAAATCATCACCCGTAAAATAGTGAAATCATACTTTTTACACTATCATAAAATCTGGAACCTGTTAAGATATTAAATATTATTAGGTTTGAATAAGCTGATATCGGATTAACAGTTTTACTCTTATTTTAGGGTGCATTAGATGAAAAAGATGATTTAACATTTTCGGTTTAGATGCTCCATTGTAACTGTTCATCCAAAAGCTATAACGTTTTAGTAATAATATTTCTGTTTCTTGCACTTAAATTTAAGCCAACATATGAAAAACCTTTATATTTTTTATTGGTTTCTCAGTAAATCAAATCAAATAAAAACTGTTTTATTTTAAAAATTATTTGCAATATATATATATATATATATATATATATATATATATATATATATATATAAAATACGAAAAAATAGTCCCGCATAGGCCGTAAAAAACCTGTGCGCGGGACAAAAAAACAGTAAAATTCATGTAAGTAAGTTTTACTGGCTCTTAAATGTATATTTTGCTCAAACACATCTCTAAGAAGAATAGTTTAATTATTTAACCGCACTAATCTCACTGCATTCAGAGGATTTTAATTATATAAAGTATAAGCTAAGCAACGAAAGCAACGCAAACTCCATAATAATTAGCAATTTCGTTAGGACCCTTTTATATTACCAGGACATTTCATAATTAACTAGTAGAACACTAAGACAATAATGCCGTCTATAATATTCTGATAACAATACCTCTGACGATATTAACGAAATTGCACCATAACAATAGTGTTATTTATTGCCTCTTAAAATCCTTGTTATTTATTGGAGTTGGATCGTTCGCAAGAACGTTGAAATAACTCATAATAACGACAATGGCCGGACACAATGAGGGGACATTATCAGTAAACGATTACAGGGGATAACCAGCGGCGTGTATAATGGAGACAGCGCTTGTGTATAACGGACATACAGCTTTGTATAACGGAAACTGACTTGTGTATACCATATATGTACAACAGACATATCTCACACATTAATGGAGACTAGATTTGTATGGTTAGAAAACATTTTTCTTGCATAATTGAGTCAGGACTTGTGTATAAGAGAAACAGAAATACAACACGAGATTTACCATTACCAATGAAGTCCTTATGCATTTTTTTAATTGTACTAAACAATATTTGTTTTTAAATACCACCTTCACATCTTGGGACAACAGACTCAAGTACACACGCGTTTTAAACTACACCAGCATTTGATAGATTTGAACCAGAGACCTTGGAAACTGAAGCCTCGCACTCTACCACTAAATTGGTTCTCCCCTATACTCATCAGATTTGTTCTACGGTTTCTAAATTAGGTAACAGTTCTATTTATTAATTCTATTTAATTAATTAATTTATTAATTAATTTATTTTATTAATTATTTAATTAATTATTTATTTTATTTCATTCTATTTATTTTTAAGGTTGTATTTATCAATAATTATAGTTAGAGGTAATTGACGATAAAATATAACAGACCATTTTAAAGATGCAAATATATTGAATTTTATTACGAGTATCAAATAATTAACATTTCGTATTTCTGCCATTGCAGAAAACATATCAAAGAAAAGTATTAAAGTATAAAAAAACATATTTTCTTAAATACGAGTAAAGTTTATTACAATTTTACTATATAAGAATGTTAATTTTTGCTTACTAATCGTATGGCAACCTACTTAAATGAATTTAGAAAAACTATCCATTTATTCCATACTATGTAGTCAGAAATAATTAAACAGATTAAGAAAGTAAATGGAACAGTAGCGACACTTGGTTCAATTAGTTTTAAAAGCATATAAGATCAGTTACTTTTTCAAATTAAAGTCTCAGCACTGCTACAATATTCTAAAAGGAATCTGCAAAAGCTTTATGTATCTCTTTAGGGAATTAATCTAAGGAATTTAATTAGTCTTTTTAAAATCTTCATTACTGTAACATAAATGTTTCATTTAGATGTTGATAATTAAAATTTATATAAAAGCCCTTGATAAATTGCGCTCATTATCAGTTTGAAAACTTTGAAATTGTATGATGAAGTAGGGCTCTTTGAGGGAAAGAAATAAGGTGAAGTAATAAAAAAAGTTTTTTTTTTAGTTTACGACAAAGTAACGAACTCTGTTGTTTAGGCTATCATTATTCACCTCTCTCTCTCTATACTGATGTATAATACAAAGTGTCAGATGTTTCCATTTTTCCTGGACAAACACATACGCACACACTCTGTTACAACATGTTCGACACGAACTTTCTTTATTGCTGGAATTAAAATATGTTTTCGGAACGGTTAACCCTATGAAAGTTTTTGGTTTTGTTAACATGTGACATTTCTAACAACGATGTAATGGTATAATTCTACAATGTTCTCTGAACATTGATGGCACAATTATGTCCTTTTATGCTGTATGTTGTAAATAAATGACATATCTTTTATTAGTGTCTACTCTAGTACGGTTTTACATGAGAGTATATCAAAATAAATAAACTGTTTACAAACTCAAATGAAATTAAAAGCCGAGAATCACACGCATTATAAAATAAATTACCTGACGCGAAGCAGGGAAATTTAAAAATAAAATAAAATATTTCCACACATCAAACTTAGTTTTATTTTTAAGATACTATAGTAACAAATAAAATTCAAGCTGGAAAGGTGGTAGTTCGTTAGGCAAATACACAAAGACAATGAAAGTGAGAAGATAGCATGATCCTAATGAGTCTCAATATAATCTCCTTCTTTATGAACCAGCTTCTTATTTGCCATGCTTATGCATTATAAAGCTGAGGTCCCTATAGTGCATCGCACTTCGGACTCTGTCATACTTAAAATTTGTATTCTTTCCACCAAATATATCTTAAAAGTCCTTGCTTCTTCTCAAAGCTATTTCGTCATCGACACCTAAATAATAATCAGCTTAAACATTACGATTGATTTTCGCTTCAACGTAAAAGGCGTTTCTTGGTATTTAGTATAGGAATTAATTTTATAAAAATTATAAATGGTTTATTGATTACTATACTCTCTTAAGAATGAAGTAAACAAGTAAAAATCAATTGAAGATCAACAGAAGATCGCCAACTACAATAAATGTGAATTAAAATTATTTATTTTCTATAAACCTATTTATACTTATATTTAAGGAAATATTATTTTTACATGTTATTCCCCACATAAGAAAATACTAAATGTGAAAATAGCAGTGGTGTATATTTATTAAACACAATAAAAAATGCGTTTATATTAAGACGAAACAAATAAGCATTGAGAATTATGAGACCTGAAAGAAAGCCATAAAGAACTCTCTAAAGTACATTTTAAATGTAAACCCCTGATGTAATGATTTAAAGTGTATATTTAGGAAAGATATTTATATCATCAAGCGCAAAAAGAAGTTTAATTTAAATATTATAACATTCACATCTCATACAATGACTCACTAAAATCCTCTTATATTACAATAACCTTTTGTCTTATTCCCTTCAAATTACCCCATGTATAGTCTTATTTCTAGCTATTACAACTAATTAAAACTTATTGAATAATTAAAAGAATTTCCGATGGTTTAAATACCATATACAGGTGTATAATGTACAGTATAGTCAATCTTGATCAATAATTAAAAAAATATTACCATAAATGACTTTAAATTAACCAACCAATTTCTTTATTAGATAAATCACAATTGTATTAAACTTTTTCGCTTTGTCAAACAAAAGATATTTACTAGAAACCGACGACTAATCAAAATAATCGGAAGAAAGTTGAACCAAAGAACGATGGAGAAACGTCCGAAAAACTGAAGTTGTAATTTATCTGTGAAACCCTTGGATTGATTCTGGCAGACTGCCACATGGGTATAATATTGTTGGGCGGCATCTTGGCTGGACAGGGACGAAGCAATCTTGTGGGGTTCTTTATATTCAAGGTGTTATTCACGTTTTACCGCCTGCTAATAGAATGATTTGTAAATTGTTTCAAAGAAAATAACATATTTTTTCCAACCACTCTGCAAGTAGTTAACAAACAAGTATTTCACTGTTTTAACACTCTAAAAACATTGAAACACAAAATTATATATACACTAATACTAAATAAACAAATAACTATCTTTGTTTAAAACAGGTACAATTATTAATAGCGATTGAAGTGATATGATTAAAAGTCAAACGGTTTATCAAAATATGTATTTTCCATATTTTTATATTTAATAATTTCATATTTTCGTCAATTACATTTATGATTGTACGTTTATTGGAATTGTTTGAAGATGAAATAAAAAAACAACAGCTTTGTAAATAAATGGAAAGAGCTATTTAAAAGCTTGATTTGTGTTTAGTTATATGATATTCCTCTGAAAGAGAAAAACTATTTTTAAGGGCTTACATCATGGTGGGTTTGAAAAATTTACCCTCAAATTAGCAATCAAAAAGATATTTGACGTTTAAATTAATCTTCAACAGCTAAAATTGAAGACATATTATGTCTAATTTTCTAAATAAATTCTTGCCTGATTTTAATTGATAAAGGTAAATAAAATGGGATTGATTTAATTTATACTTATAAGTATAGTACATAATGATAAAATAACTTTTAATATCCTTGACGAAATATGTAAAATGAAATTGGCCCCATTTCACAGATTTGTTTCACACCTATTAATTAACACCTATCCATTTTGCATTAGCAATGGAAATAACAATACAATTTAAGTATAGTGAAATATTCGAGTTAACTTTGTTAACAATTAAGCCGTTTAGGTTAACGAATATACTTACGATAAAGTTTTGAAAATTTTAACTAAAACAATATATTATCTGCAAATATAGCAAGCAACTTAATATGCCA